TTTTTTTTTATTTTTTTTTTTTTATTGTTTTGGTTTTGTACATGAGCTAATCTAATGGCTAAAACTTATGTTAATTTATAGTATTGTTTGCTTATTATGTATTTGTCTGAAAGCAATCATGTTGTCAGTTACATCTTCATTATTGATTAAAATTTGTGGTCCATAATCTTAATTATTGATCACTGACGTTTGGTCTAAGGCGATATCATAGTAATACAATACAAATAGAGTACAACTTTTTAATTAGGCAGACATGACATTTAGCACAAATTTAAAGAGTAAAATAATCAGATAACAACTCTAAATATAATTTACTTAAAACTATTCTTAAAATGTTGAAAAAGAGGCAACTTTACTTGCATATAAACCAAACCTCCATCAATAATATAGCATAACATTTATCATAAAATTACATTTTCTCACATATCCATCGAAGTCTTCTTCTCTTAGACTCGCTCGAGAATCACTTGAACTCCATTTTTCGGCGTGAGCACAAAGGCATCGACCGGAAAATGCACGTAATTCGGCGAAAGAGTAAACTTGTACTTGTGCAGAATCATTGAGAGCGCAATCTTGGCCTCGTTGGTCGTAAAATTCAACCCCACACAAGTTCTCGGGCCCAACCCGAACGGTATGAAGGTAGCACCGGTTTTCTTGGTAGCTTTAGAAACCCCTCGCGCGAACCTTTCGGGCTTGAAGAGATGAACATCTTCACCCCAAATTTGAGGATCATAATGCAGTGCAAGAATCGAAATGAAAATGTTCATCTCGGGAGGAAGCGAAAGTTTCCCTAGCTCGACTTGTTTCGCGGTTTTTCTTGTGAGCATTAGGGCCGGAGGGTACAACCTTAGGCACTCATTGATTATCATGTTCATCTGCAAAAAGGGGCAAAATTACATTTTAGTCCTGTTGGTTTATCGTCATAGCAATTTTAGTCCCAAGTTTCCAACATTTGACCTTTTTGGTCCCTTGATTTAATATTTTGCTGCAATTTCAGTTATTTGAGGACTGAAATTGTAACAAATTCTAAATTTTCAGATTTTCGATTAGCAAGTTAAGTTCTGTAATTAAAAATTTTATTGTAATTCCAATCTTGTAATTTAAAATGTTATTGCGATTTCAGTCCTTAATAACTGAAATTGCAGCAAAATATTAAATCACAAGACCAAAAGGTGAAAAGTTTCTGGAGACTAAAATTGCTGTGTTAAGCCTACAGGACTAAAAATGTATTTTTGCTGCAAGAAATGATGTTAGAGAAAGATCAAAAGTTTGGATTGAAATATCGCGCCAAATTTTCTGGTACATGATGATGATTAGAGTGATTGAACTTTCGACAAAGTAATGTTTTAATGGCTTACGACTTTTAATCGTGCAATGCCATCTGAATCGAGGCTTGTTTTTTTCCTCAAAATGCCATACACCTCGTCTCTGGCTCTGTCTTGCCATTCGGTGTTTGTAGCCAGAAGCAGAATACACCAAGTGAGAAGGCTCGTCGTTGTAAGGTGTCCTGCACCGAAAATTGTTTTGATCTCGTCAATCATCTGATCTGTTGTGATCCTCTTTTTGGCATTCGAGTCTCGGCTTATTCGTATAAGTTGTCCGAGATAATCTCCTCCGAAATTTCGAAGTCGCTTATTTTCTCTCGTATTTGTGATCTCTAAAATCGAGCTCTTGATCTTTTGCTCGAGCTTCTCTGCCTCAACCTCGTCGTCTGATTTTCGAATCATACTTCAAATCATAAAAAAACGTAAGAATGAGTAATTAAAAGATTAGTAAATCAATGTAACATACATAGTATTGAAAATCTGAAGTTGATCAAAGAGCTATAATTTGGTGAAAATTAAACACAACCTTATGCTAGGAACTTTGACTTTGTATACATTTCTAACAACTATAGAAGTCAACTTTGCAACCATTTCAAAAACATGTTTTCCCTCCAAATAACTGCTTCCAAAGGCTGTCCTTGAAATTACTTCAGTTGTAAGAAGTCCAAATTCCTTAAACACATCAATTTCCTTCCCTTCATAGCCTTTCCATCTTTCTAACATCAACTCCACACTCGAACTCATTTTCGTAGTCATACTCTGCACAGTCGAATTTTCCCCCGAAAAATAAATAAATAAATAAGTAACAGATTATTACTATTATTATGATGAAGTAATAATAAAATCGCTCGACTGTAAAAATAGATTTTTACTTTCAAACTTTCCGAATGGAAGGTGTAATCAGCCAATTTACGTATTTTCGACCATTTTTCGCCTTCGTTCGTGATTAATGCTCGTCCGAGAAGCTTATTTGCATAGCCATCCATGTCCATTTTCGGAAAAACACCGCCTCTGTTCATGAGTATCTCCTTTACCATATTCGGTTCGGTTACGAACAATTGGCACTCCGAACCGTGCCAATTCAAGAAAACTTTCCCTGTCGTAAACAAAAAGTTTTATTATCAAATTTGAGGAAAAAAAGGAAGAAGAAGAAGAAGAAGATAGTATAATTGCAAAGTGTCGAACTCAACACATCAGAAGAGAAATTTGTCCAAATTTGCATGGTGATTAACATAAGATCAAAACAAAGATTTAAACTTTTGTCAAAATTTACCATAGGCTTTTGTCCAAGCATGAACATGAGGCTGTAATCTGGGAAAAATGTCGTGCAACGACACGTCATCGATCGGTTTCTCCATGGACAAACTTCTCATGTGAGTGATCTCTTTAGTGTTGCCATGTGGGAATTTGTAAGGAGGTCCATGAACTCCTTGTAAATTCATTTTCGACTTGAGTCGAACGGGCGACCACCATACTTTGTGCAAGAATTTGATCACAAGTTGAATTGAGTAGAAAAACAAAGTTGTTGCTAGGGAAAGTATGATCAATATCAAACAAATTTCTGCCATATTCTCTGTAAATAATTGGATTTTAATTATTATTATTATTTTTTTTTTTTTCTCTCAAAGGTTTATGTTTGGTACTTAATGATATGTTGATGGCAGTGCAGACTGATGATTTTATTAGAAAACAAAAAAAAAAATAAATAAACATATGTTTAATATAATAGTATATCAAGTCCAGATCGATATGTAATGTATGATTGTGACAGGGTGGTCAATATATTTAACATTTTTGCACTATTTAGTTTGAATCTTATTGGGTCAGAATCATTGGATCATGAACATACATGTTGTGGAAAATCAGTTACAAATTGTTTGGTATAGGCCCGGTTATTGGTCAAGTTGGCCCAAGCATTGGCCCAATTATTCAGGGCCTCATTTTTGTAATACTGGTACGTCATATTGTTTTTTTTTTTTTTTTTTCGTCAAATGATCTTAAATTGTCCTTATATGTAATTATCGAAGGTGAGTTTAAGTGGTAGAACCATACTTCGTAAGCTTATTTGACATAAATTTGCGCTTCGTAATGACAAATGTACATGTTTGATTTTGACTATTAGGCTTGAGAATTATTATAAATTATTTTATTTTTCATGTTTTCTTAAGTTACCATACACTACTCGTACATTTTTTATTTAATTCATATATTAATTATCATGAATTAGTATTCTTTTTTGTTTTAAAACTTTATATCTGTTTGTATTTGTTTTTTATTTATGATATATCAAAATAATAATATTTTAATGATCTTCATTTTAACATCTATACTGCATATATAAAATAAAAAATAATTTCATCTATCCTTATATACAAAACTAATTTATTATCAAATCATCAATTTAAAAAAGTACCAAATAACAATATATATAATTAATAAATCTAATAAAAATACAATTAATCAATACACCATAAAATAATCAATTTAATTTATAGATTTTGAATAAAGTAAGAAAATTAAGTAATACATAAATAAATTATACGAAATTATAAAATATTATTTTTGGATTTAAAATATATTATATAAGAAACTTAATGCTATCATGTTTTTTAAATAATAGGTATAATGTAATATCATAAGTAAATATATTCAAAATAATTTTAAGTTTCATAAAGTTAAAAAATAATATAGTTCCGCGTAAATTAATATTTTAAATTATTATATTATATAAATTTAAAATACTTAAAAGAAAATGCATAAACAAGAGACACAGACTCTAAATGTAAAACATAATCTCAATACAATAAAATTTGTTTTGTTTTTTCTTTAAAAAAAAACTGAATCAAATATATGAAGTTTTAAATAATATCTGTTTTAGACATATACAAATTTTTAAAAGATGAATAAAAACATCATTTTTAACAAATTTAGTGTGTTGTGGTCATGTGTTGTAGTGCAGAGTATTAACGATCATCCAATGACTCCATAGCGATATTGATAATTTCAAAACCACAAAGTTCAAAATATTTTGACTACCCGAAACCCGGAAACCCGGATCAACGGGCTGGCCGCCCCGCTGGTGGCCACGTGTAAATTCAAATGTGTGTACCTCCAATCATACTTTGAAATCCCTTACGTATAAGGAACAGTTTACAAAGCTAAGTTGTCTCCTTCTTGAAATGGTAAGCTCAAAACAACATTAGCCTCAAAAATTATTTAAGAAAATGTTGGACTTGCTTTACAAAATAATCAGCTTATACCAAGTCAACTTCCCATTGACAACAATAGGCAAAGTTTTTAAGTAAATAAATAAATATACAAAAATAATACTAAACATGTGACTATGGAGAGGCGACTCCAATCCCATTAAAATTGGGGTGCAAATGAGTCGGCTCACGTGCCGTTCGTGAGCGCCCGAGTCAATGTTCTATCAACCTGAAGCTCGATCCGAGTTTATTCATTTCAATCGAACAAATTAGTTCAAATTCAAGCATCATTTCAAGAGGCTCATAAGCTTGACGAACCGCTTGACTTTTTACTTAAATAAATATCACATACAATTTAATTATTATCAATATAAGAACACAAAGGCTAAAATTTTTTAATTAGAATAAAAATAGTACCTTTATATTTAAATGCTACTTTTTAAAATTTCGAGCTGAACTCGAGCCATATCGAGCATTGAGTTGAGCTCGAGCATTCTTATTTCTTTCACCAGTCGAGCCGAGCAGCATTTTACATGGCTCGCCGAGTACGAGCTCGAGCAAGTGAAGAAAAAAAGTATGATTTGCACTCGACAAGGTCCATGCTCTGCTCGACTCGACCAATTTGCAACTAAAAAAAATCATATGTAATATCTTCTAATAAATAATGCCTAATTACATGGAAAATATAACTTGATTTTTTTTATTTTTTTTTTCATGCCCAAAACTATGTCAACTATGGTAGTATAGATTGGTACATTATAGATATAGATTTTTATCAACCTATACACCATTATTTTTATTTTTTTTATGCCAAACCTATGTCAACTATGGTAATAAAGATTGCTACATTATATAGATTTTTATTAACCTATATACCATTTTAGTGATTACCAAATGTTGTTTATGATACTTGAGTGTAATTTTTGTTTATTAAAGATAGTTAAAGTTTTATTTCTCTCACAAATAAATAATTTCAAATATATATATATATATATATGTATGTGTGTGTGTGTATATTTTACTGCTGATTTTTTTTTTTAATTTACCCAACCATCACAACAAAATTTGTATGTATTTATATATTTAGCTATACTATTAAAACAACTAAATATCTTCACGAATCTTTGAGATCAAATAATAATTCAAGCAATAATTTATTTAAATCTTCTCAAATTCGTTATTAAAATTAACGAATTTTGATTTCATTTATCAAACTAATGCTTAATAGCAATTGTCAAATTTGGCCAGGCGAAAAAATTTGTGACAAATATAATAAAACGGATTCACCCATTATACAAATATATAGATATATAGATATATAGATACAGATAATCAGCATTTACCAAGTTAACTTCCCATTGACAAATATAGGCAAAGTTTTTTAAATAAATAAACAAATATATAAAATAATACTAAACATGTGACTATATTGGAGAGGTGACTCCCCAATCCCCGTTGAAATTAGGGCTGCAAACGAGTCGAGTGACTCACAGACCGTTCTCAAGCGCCCGAGTCTATGTTCGATTAAACTCGAGCTCATGCATTTCAATCGAACAAACAAGTCGAGCTTTGAATCATTTCAAGAGGCTCGTAAGTTTGACGAGCCGCTTGACTTTTTATTTAAATAAATAACACATATAATTTAATTACCAATATTGGAACACAAAGACCACAATTTCTATTTAGATAAATATAGTACCTTTATATTTAAAATTTTTAGTTGTTAAAATTTTGAACAGAAAACGAGTCATGTCGAGCATTGAGTTGAGCTCGAACATTCTTATTTTCTTTCACGTGTCGAGCCGAGCAACATCTTACACGGCTCGTCGAGCACGACTTCGAGCAAGTAAAGAAAAAAAAAAGTACGCTTTGCACTCGACAAGGTCCATGCTCTTCTCGACTCGACTAATTTGCAACCCTACTCATTCACAATAAAAAAAAAAGGGTTGACCTACCAAGGCTATAACTTAATGAATCTATTTCAAAATTCTGCCGACCACAACATTAGAATGAAACATCCAACAACCACCAAAATCCATTTGAACTTCTCTTCATCCTTTAACTTCCCCGCACGTAATTTCCACCATTTTCATCTACCATTAATATATATATATATATATATA